GCTGCTGGTAAGGGTGATCACCTCGACCGGCTGCCTTAGCTCCATTTTGAGCCCGCAAAAAGTTACATCAAAAACCAGCCTTGTTTTGGCATAACTGGCAGATCATACCAGGAGCTTGACTACCTACTGAAACGGCATCTTGCATCCTAAGTTTGCCACAGATCGACTTGTCCTCAAAAACTTTTCGATCAAAAATATGGCAACGAAAATCGGAAGACAGCAGAGCCCGCTCAGGAATAGATGACTTAACGATGAACTCCTGCACGATCGGCTCTGTCACCTCTGCATCCTCTTCTTCGACGACAAAAAGATCTGGGTCTGGAACCCACTGATCGCGCAGCTTGGATGCCATGTCCTTGACCATGGCGACCGATAGCTCTTTGCGCAGCCTAGCATACTTGAGCACGAGCTGGCTGGGGTCTTTCCAATTGGCTTGCAAGCCCGCGATCTTGTCGTCGACATTGGCCTTGACCGCTTCTGCCAGCATCGTGACCCTCATTGAGTGCCACGTGATGGCCTGCACTGCCTGCTCTAGATCCGGCACCTCGTTCAATGCGATCTTGTCGTTCCGAACGCATTCACCCAGTGCCAAGAGCAAGAAGTGCTTGAGCCATGCCAATGATCGGCTGTAGGTAACTGGTGCCGGCGCGAACTTCTTCTCATCCTGGAGCTCCCAGATGAAAAAGTCGCGGTCGCTCATGTAGGGCTGAAAGAGTTTCCAACCTTTTTCAAGCCAGTCTCTACCTGAAATTGAGCAAACAGGGACGGCGAACCTTGTTCCCCGTTTCTTCCTCTCGACCTTCGTCTGCCACACCAAGCCCAGCAGAGCATCCTCTGTCAGCTGGAGCGATGTTGGCGCGACATGCACCCCGTCATCAAAACGAAGGGAAGAGAAAATCAAAATCAAAGTCCACCGAATGAAAATGGCCGCGGCATCCTTTTTGGCGTTGATCAAAAAGTCCAAATAAATTTCCAGGGCCATGACCAGCTTGGACGGAACAGGGACTGCTTCCTTCAGCTCTTTCCCTCGCAGCGAGTAGACCTCATCAATCACGGCCTTGCGCTGCGGGTCTGCCAAATTGGGCAGCGGCATGACCAACCGCTTGCAAACCCACCCAACTGCATATTTGAAAGCTGGGAGGATAGAAGGCCCGCACCCTTGATCTTTCAAGTACAGGCTGTAACGCATAACCGCCACGATCGTTGGGAGATAAACACGAAGTCCATGAGCAGCTGCCCACTCGTCAAACTTCTCCCAGTAACGAACGTTTTGGCGTATTGTGCGAAAGCCGCCAGCTTCGAAAGACATAGTCTTCAAGCGAGCTGCTTCCTCTGGCATCAGACCAGTACAGCGGCTCTGGTCATTGATCCCAGCCGCAGCCCCTGCCTTGGTGCTGATCGCACTGAGCCTGGCTCCCCACTTTCTACGTTCAGAGAGCTCAACACTCTGAAGTGAGGTGACCTCCTCTACCGGTCCCAACCCGGCTGGCTTTGCACCAAGAGCCTTGGGAGCTGGCGCGGCTATCGGAGCATCAGCCGAGCTGCGCTTCACACCTGCACGAGGCGGTTCGGCTGAACCATAGCCAAGATCTGTTGCGATCTCTTGCTGAATCTTTTTCAGTAGATCTAGAAATCATAGAAGCTAAGATGTTCACCATATCTAGCCGCTGCAGGATCTTGTCAGCAACCTCTTGCTTCTTGGTCAGCGCTGGGAGGATCTCCGACAGCTTATGATCAGCTGTACCATGGGAACTATCCGAAAGGGCGAGCCACATCTCGATCTTATCAAGATTCAGCTCAACCAAAACAGATCTAAAACCCTCATCGAAAATATAGACACAAGAACCGGTAAATCGACCGATCCATCTCTCTTGAGCAGGCTGGGGCTCCGGATCGATCGCCCTTCGCCCCGGGATGAGGATCTGACCTGCAGCGTCGGGCAAGCTTGGAGGGATCTTCCAATGCCGCCGACACGCAAGTGTGACGAATGATACCGTCATGATCATGACAGTGATCACCATGATGGGGGCGGATGGAACCGTCAACCAATGATCAAGCTACGGGACCAACCAACCAACCAGGTGAAAAAGAACTGCATGATCACATGACCCTAACGGCATGAACAGCGTGAGGACCCGGACAGCATGATCAGCTGATTTACCCTTAGCCCTGCCCATGATCATGATGGCGTGATCACTTGCCGCAGAGATGAATGAAATGAAATACATCGAATGAGATGATCCTATCACGACTTGATCAGCATGCAATGATCTGAACGGCTTGATCGGCATGAGGACCTGTGATCGGAAAGGCATGATCAAGCCCTTGCCCCAATTGAAAATAAAAAGAACATAACTGCAGAAAATCAATCAACATATGAAATCATCGTGGGACTGATCAAACCACGTTCAAGAGCGACATGACCATTGGCGCTCCGGCTGTGATCACCACTACCGTCCCGCCTTTTTCCGTCCCTCACGGACAGTCGTCGCCTAAATTGAGTCTTGCATGACCAACAAAAGATCAGGTTGATCAAACCTCATGCAAGACCATTGGAAAAAGGAAAATGTGAGCTCGTTCGGACTGCCAGCTGATCCGCTCATTCTGCAGACCCTCTGTTAAAATGTCTCTGAAAACGAACTCTGAAAATTATGGAAAATATACAAAAACGATCTGACTCCAACTGATCACCGCAGAGACCTCCTTGATCTAGACGTCCTCGGCCTTGTCTGCGACCTTCTTCTCATCGCTCTTTGCCGTCGTCTGAGGCCCGAACGACTGTGGCGTCGATCCAGGAGCTTGCATCACTTCCGATGGCCCAAACTCCACTGTCGGTGAACTCAGCGGAACTTTCTCTGGCTTCTTCACGTGGGGAGCAGCTGTGTCGACCTCCTCAATGGTTGCAGTCGACTCCACGTAGACCCGGCGCTCCATCTCGTCCCTGAACAAAGCAGGAGTGAGGTGAGCTGTTGATCGAGCAAATCGCCGATCTGTTCGAGCCCTGTCTCGCTCTTCATCCACCATGTGACCACGTGTGCCTTCTTGATGATGGCGTGCGGTAAACGATCTCTGGGTGAGCTCGTACCCCGCCCTCTTCTGTACCGTGACCACGGCTTCTGAACTAGCAGCTGCTTCATCGTGATCTTCGTGGGTAGCCTGCTCGCTCGAGTCCAGCCACGCCCCAGCAGTCAAAGATGGGGGGCCGGTGGGAGCTGTCACGCCCCCCACATGTTGCATCTCAGCCAGCGCACGAGTTGGCACCACTTGACCCTCACGAACCATCAACTTCGAGCGGGCAATGACGTGGAAGTTGCCCTCGTCCAAGCCTTCGACGAACGTCACGTAGCTGCCAATCTGATCCTCATCTTTGGCCCAAGAGGCTTTCCACCAGTCTTGGTGGATCGCAGCCAATTGAGCAAACTGCTCAGTCTGCTCTGGCCCTTCGACCCGGGCACGGTTCTCTCGAACCGACTTGATGGTGTTGATCAGCGTAGGCCCTGAAATGTGGGACACTGTGAGCCAGGTACCTGGAACTGACGTCCTTGAGCATTTCAAGTCAATGCGGTTGTTGGCATCCCGGTACCTGAACTCAATGCGATCGGCGTCATTCCCAACCGCGTCTTCTGATGACCTTTTGCAGCATCTAAGCTCGAATCTCGAACGAGCAGAGTCTCCAGCGACCACAGCACCTTGGGGCCCGATCGAGTAAGTCCGGCCTCCACATTCGTAACTGAAGACCGACACTCGCCAGCCCACGAAAACTGCGATCACAACCGAGAGGCGCGGCTTGCCTCTGCAGACTTCTCGAACGAGGTACTCGTCCACGAACTGCTGCTGAACGGTCAAATCGGTATCAGAGCGATACCCCCTCAGGATCCAGTGGAAAAGAATCTCATTGCCGTTGTAGATCTTCACATCAGTATAGCTTGCTGATGTGTCTCGAAGCATCGGCCAGGTGAACGGCTGGAAAGCTGGATGGGCGAGCGCCGCAGCAGTGCGACCATCCCATCCAGCACATGTAGAGCCAGTCTCGCTCTCCACAGAAATCATTACCACTGCCTTGATCCCATCCAAGGTGTAGTTGCCGAACAGGCTGAGGTGAAATCCAGAATTCGGCGGCATGACCTGGTCGCGCTCGGTGAGCACGTTGATGGAGCTGGCCGCATTGGCCATAATCTCACTGACCAGCCATGCCTGAAAAGGCGACACCATACGATCATCTCTGTTGTCAATCATGATGATCGAAGTGTCCTGCGCTTCACCCTCGCACTCGGCGATCGACTCGTTGTACCGAGCCATGCGCACCTCATAGGGGTTGTGAGCCACGTTGCCAGCTCTACTGCCAGAACCTCCTCCCCATTGACCACCACCTCTTCGATCTTGTCCCCACTGATCTCGGCTACGACCGTAGTTTGCCATAGCTGAAAGTGCAGAGCGAGGTGGTGGGGAGAACGTCCCAGGCCCACCAAAAGAAATGATCGATCAAGGCGGGTCAGATCTTGAGCCAAAATGGCATTGAGATCTGACCCTGATCCCAATGAATGCTCAATTCACAAACGAGCCCGATCGGGCACAAGATCAAATCAATTCCTCTCACAGATCTTTCCAACTCAGTAAATAAAATAAAGAATGATCAGTTCAAATTCTTTCGCAGATCCTTCCAATCAAATAAAAGAACAAGAGCAAGGAGATGACGCGATCGCAGCAAGTGCCCCGAGCTGGAGATTGACCCACTTATTCCTACCAACCAACCGTCAATAAGTGATCGAATTGGGATCTGCGTATTTTGATCAACCGACAAACCATTCGGAGCTTGACCTGACAAAATGGTGGCAGCCCCAACCCAAATTCCGCAAAGTCAAGGGAAACAAACAAAAGGCATGATGTGTCTCACGGCAACTCCACAACCCGGATCGTGGTGTCGTTGGGAAATTCTTAGTCCTTGGTTCCCTATTTATTAATTAACCCTCCAAACCAACGAATAGTGAAGGCCAAGCTTCCGCCTCTGCAAAGCGGGTGACTGCCATGTCCAAACTGCTTAAACTTCCTGGCAGTTTGAGCGTGCTTTTGAGTGGATGGTGTAAGGATCATCCAAGCTTTTCACGCATTTGTCTAATGCAGCCATACTCATAATCCAATGAATGGATACATAGATAAAAATATGATAAACAGATCCATACATCAAGAAAGAATACGGATTCAAAGAACATCCAATGGTGAATAATCAGATTTTTATAACAATAATCATAGCTATAACAAATAACTATAAATAACTGATATTTTCATCGTGAGAATTATTGGACCATCTGTCAATCCATCGCCTCGTGTGAGGCCTCGCTTCAGGGGACGATCCGGTGCATCCAGGGACAGGTAGTGTTCCAAGGACTGCAGCAACTGTTGTCCTTGGAAAAACATTTTTTTCACACGACCGGCTGGTAAAACATAGAAGTTAAACAGAAAATGTGAAAATGCTGAGAGATCTATCCATGATGATTCATGATTAGTTATATATGCTATGATGATTAATGATTAGTTATATATACTATGATGGACTATGGTTAAATAGATCTATGTAGCCAAAGATCATGATAGTTCTCATTGTCAATCAACCTCATCGCCAAACATGATTCTCCGGAGAGCTACAAGACCTGCCAATGATCACCAGTCCCCACATTGCCTACCCCTCGAGCCACATCCATTAGCTCTTACTTCTGACAAGGCTCTTCCTTCAGGCACCCCTTGAGGCTCCGACATGTCGAAAATCTCCGGATACTTGTCGGTGATCAGATGATGAATGATACCCATGTGAAACCAAGGTGCATAGCTGGTACCGCTCGCCAAATAGCCTTGTTTCACAAGGCGCGAGGTTTCGAGTCACTTACTGTAAGGACGTTCTGGAAGGACATCTCGTGAGTTTACTCCTTTTGAAACAGGCAAGGGATGTTGATCATTTTGGTAAACCATTCAATTTGGGCTACCCAACTGACCCATCAAACCACAGTAAATCATGTGGTATCATGTGGTACCCATTTCTTTACAACAGAGCCTGTGATATTGATGTCCATCACGTAGGCACGTGCAATGTACTCTGTGTTCATCAACAGCCTGCGAGCAGCATCTAGGCCATCCAGACCTTGCCTCGGCTCCCATGGGTAGTAAATTATAGTAAAGGGGTAGGAAACAACAGCTGGGAAAAAATGGATGTGAATCAGCCCAAAATAAAATGTGGTGCAGCAGCTTTGAACCTAATGTGAAGAATATATTTGGGGACCAGTAAGGCTGGATTCACTCTGCACGAACTGAATGAATTTGGCATACTCATGTTACAAATGGTACTAATGTATGGAAAGACACTCAATCAAGACATGATGCATTGTTGCATTCTGAAATCCTTCAAAGTGTCACCACCTCCGAAATCAAACTGCGATTCGTCTGAGGTACGGCAACTTGCGCAGTTGGTCCGCGATTCGTGCAAGCAGAATTCCACCTGATAGTGCTGCACAAAGCCACAAGAAATGTGAAAGGCGTAGATGACATTCCCGGCACAAGAAACCAAGAGGAACTCCAATGAAGGAGACTGATTGACTGATTATACAAGTTTCTTCTACCTTTCCCTGTCAGCATCTGTGTCATGTGCCCTGCAGTCTTGACCTTCGCACTTCAGAAGACCAGTCAAGTCTTGGGTTCGTGCGGTGTGCTGTCGGACAAGACGACCATGTGTTCATAGCATCAGAAGCTTTGTAGACATTGAAGTCAATTGCCTGGCCAATTCAACTGAGTGATGCAGCTTGTAGTGTGGTAAATCACCGTAAATTCAGTTTTTGTTTGCAACATCTCGAAAAACGAACCCAAAGACATAGGAATGGTATGGTGTGCTTGGTAATTGTGATATTATCGATACTATGGTATATCTACCACATATTCTTCATTATCCTGGCACATTTCAAGCATATGCCGCCTCGAAGTCCGCCCGCATTCGCAAGAAGGCCAGTAACTGCGTGCAGCTTCTGTCGCCTGTGATGCGGTTCTGAACTCTTGGTTGGTGTACTTGGCCAATTCTTGGAGTAAAAGACCACTTATATAAAACCCAAGAGGTGGGTGATGTTCAGCTTCAAAATTGCCCCTGCGGTTGCATCTTTTTTCCATGGAGATGCATCATTTTGACACCTGCCAAGTGGCACCAGTCTTCCACCTTCTTCGATATGGGTCTGGCATCGCAGGTCTGCTCCAGCCCAGGAATCTGTGCCTTTGCACAGCATGGCCTGGATTGGGCAACTGGAACCATATGGGGATGGGTTACCAGCTGTTGAACGGTCTGAGGGAAGACCATGTTTTGACCCATCCCCGTAGGCCCAAAAGTAATGATATACGTAATATATGTGTATTTTTATGTGTCTATGTATGTCTTTATAAAAATGTGCATATATATATATATTTACACATATATATCTATATATATATACATACATACATACATATATATATATATATACATACATACATACATACATACATACTTTGCATTACATTACATTCCATTCCATTCCATTACATCACATCACGTTACATTACACTACATTACACTACACTACATTACATTACATACATACATACATTACATACATACATACATACATACATATATATATACATATATACATAAACATATACATATATATATACATATGTATATTAAAAACATGGTCAGAGCGCCCGCAGGAGCACTCTACTGTTTGCGATATTCAATGTCTGCGTCATCACATGTGTTTGACATATTGTGAGAAAACGCAAGGTTTTTTAGTATGTATCATGTTGATCGTGGATACGCAGATGAGCAAAAACGTAGAACTGCGCGCCCCAAATGGGTGATTTTGTTCAAGTTCATTGTTTTTTGCAATGTATTTGCATTTGTGTTCCAAGCTGTCTTCATTGGCAATCTTTTTTTTCTATCTTTCATCTCGGTGGTGCTTGCACAACTTTCCGAGGCTGGCGAACACGTGTCCTTCATTGAGGTGATGCCACTGTCCACGCCAGAAGTATTTCCAGAGAGCTCGCTCTCTGATCTTCCCTTTGGAAGTCGTTGTCCAGTGGTTCGGCACACTTTTCTTTACATGGTGCCACTGCCTATCCAACTGCTGCGTGCCCGCTGTGCGAGCTCGACCTCTTTTGCGCGTGAACTCTGCACGGGAGTGTTTGACCACAACCCAACCCCAACCCCACCCCATACCCAGCGTAGCATCACGTGGGTGTGCAACTTCAGATGAACGCTGACATGACCCCCACCCCAACCCCAACCCCACCCCATACCCAGCGTAGCATCACGTGGGTGTGCAACTGCAGATGAACGTTAACATGACCCCCACCCCAACCCCAACCCCACCCCATACCCAGCGTAGCATCACGTGGGTGTGCAACATCAGATGAACGTTAACATGACCCCCACCCCAACCCCAACCCCACCTCATACCCAGCGTAGCATCACGTGGTGTGCACTTCAGATGAACGCTGACATGACCCCCACCCCAACCCCAACCCCACCCCATACCCAGCGTAGCATCACGTGGGTGTGCAACTGCAGATGAACGTTGACATGACCCCCACCCCAACCCCAACCCCACTCCATACCCAGCGTAGCATCACGTGGGTGTGCAACTTCAGATGAACGTTAACATGACCCCACCCCAACCCCAACCCCACCCCAGGGTCAGGGGGGTGTTGAAAAAGGACGAAAGCGTTGCGCTCCTCAAGGCGCTCACACCAAAAACATGGTATATGGGTTATGTATGATCATCCCATCAGTATTGGAAAACTTTATTTTGGCCATTGTAACTATTATACTTGTGAATGATGGGCATGACATGGCATGACCATCCCAAAATATGGGTGTATATATATATATAATCCAACTTTAGACCATGGCACAATATGATGTGTATTTATGTTACTTATGTTAAATAGTGTATATAATACATACATATATATATATACATATAAATACTTTATTCCTGAACACCGCATACTTGGTGCTTCATCCCACTTAGTAAGTACGTTCCTTCATCTTTTTAGTACACATTGTGCCTTTGAATATCTATGAATTTGTTGAATGATTCGCACTGAATTCACTGGGGTTACCCTCCGGTAATTTGACATAACTATGGAAAATCACCATTTTCAATGGGAAAATCCACTATAAATGGCCATTTTCAATAGCTATGTTAGTCATTACCAGAGGGTACAACCCACAAATCGCATCCAATCGTGACAATTCGCCAAGAGACAAAAACGCAGCCAGGCTCCGGACGATCCGCCACATTGGTCGGCCATTTTTCTGGGTAGGCCAGCTGGCCGTGCCACGCCCGGGACACGGGTAGCCCAAGATTTCCCAAGATGACAAAGATGAAAAATGTTTAGAAAATGGCTTGGAAAATGCTTGGTGAAGGGTTGGTTCAAGGTGAGTTTGGGAATGTGCATCTGCTTGTGTCTATCTACATACATATCATTAAGTGTTCCAGTAACAAGTTTCGGCTTGGAAAATGCAAAAATAATAAAAATTGAGAAATGAAAAAATGGAAAAAGTACTGATTCACCAAAAGCAGAAAAAGTGTGAACCAGAAAAAGGCAAACTCGGATTGTTCTTTTCTGTTTCGGGTGTTTTCCTCTGTATTTGTCGATTTTTACTTTTTTTTTTCACTATTGTGTTTCCCCCTTTTTCAAGGTGTTCTTCAATTTTAAATTGCTTCACCAAAAAAAATGTGCACCACCAAAAAATAATAGGAAACAGAAAAAGAAAAAATGCAGGAAAAACAAATCATAAGAAAAAATGCAAAAACAAAGCGAAAAGAAAACCATATGAAAAACACGAAACCAAAGGATCAAATTTGGTTCGCGTTTTTTCCGCTCTTTTTGTAAAGCGTTGTTTTTGGCTGTTACTAGTCCATCAGCGAATTACATGTGAAATTGTCATGTAAAAAATATTCAACATATAATGATATATAATGTATATACAGTTGTATCATATCTCTGCTGGTGTCTCTCTGAAGTAAGCAGCCAATGGGAAAAGAACATCTCAATCGATGCTCCTAGTGCTGTGTGAGTGTGAATTAGTGGACATTCAAGCTAGACTCACCGCTCTGATGGTGAATTGTCAGAGTGAAGCAGGATAAATGAGATTCTGTTCAGACCTGTTGAGCCATGATTGCATTCAGTCGAAAATGTGAAGTCGCAAGATATAAATCATTCCGAGAACACCCTACCCCGACAAGACTTGGATACTTTATACCTGCATCTATGGTACACTTCAATGTACATAATGAAATTCAAAAAGGGCGATCGGTGTCTTACGATTTGAGCTTGTAACCATGATTAACCCTGCTGAAATGCGCAGTCAGTCTCATTCCCTTGCTGACTTTTTGGTGTCTGGTCCAAAAATGGAAACCCTCAACTGGAAATGCCCCCCTCAGAGATGCCTTCTACCCCCCTGCCCAAGCTGTTTCTATCACAAACGATTCTAGGTGAGCCGGAGAAGCCATTTGCCCATTTAGGCCTTCCAACGCTGACAGATTCCAACCTCCCAACAGGACCATCTCAGTCCCATGGCTGTGCTGCCAGGGCTGGGCCGCCATGGTCTTTGCAGCTGTCGTTCAAGCCCAGGCGGGGGGATCTCAGGGTCCCCGTTGAACGTCACCAGGTGGAGGGCTGATTCCAAACACACGCCTTGGCATCTGCAAAATTCACCCACTGCCACAAGAAAATCCCAACAGAATAACCGTTGTAACCGTTACTAACCGTTACTAACCCACTCCCAACCGACGAAAAAGTAATTGCTTCCAAGGCGCTGCACTGGAGGTCTCCGCTGGAGATTCCGCTTTTCGTGGCCATCATGGCGGGTCTTCCAAGTTCCAAAAGTTCCAAGGATCGTCAGCTAACTCTTCAACCTCGCTGTCATGGTATGGGTACCTCAGCATAGCTGAGCAAGGATTTTCTACTGACACTGAACTCGGACTCTGCAGGGGCTGAGGCCGCGACTTTTTGGAAGAACGTCTTGGTTATTAAAGACCGTCACAACATCTTGATCACGAAATTCACGAAATTGAAGCGAGTATCCATGACCTAAGGTTTCATATCGATGCGAAGCGCCGTCTACAGACGTACAAATCGAAGCAACTTCAAGTCCTCACGATTCCCAGCCGATCGCTGGCAAATATAGCGAACACCAGGAACTCTTTGAATCGGATGGGAAGTTGTCTTGAGATAAGTGGCTTTTGGAGCATGGTAACAATTCCGTTGTCAGACTAACTCTAGCTTTCTTACACTGCAAGGGCTTGCAGGTCTCGGTCGAGCAATGCATCAGCTGCATGTGCTCATAAGTGCGACGAAAGGACGCAGAAGCATTGCAGCCTCAAGAGCCGCAAAACCAGTGCCATCTATGTTGAGTATTTGGTGTTGACACTGTGGCATTTCAAAGAAACCTGCCAACACGACCCGATCTTCTCAGGGCATGACCATACTTCCAGGCTTGGTGTTCATCTGGCTGATCGAAGCTGCCACTGTGGTGACCTGAATCCGGACCAGCAGCGCTTCTTTTTTCGTCACCGGGCAAAAAACGGTCCCCCCGGTCCCCCATCGCACCTTTCCCTCCGCGAAGAAGCGCTCCCCGGAGCGAAGGGCATCGTACTCCCGTCCGAGAACGTGAATCCGCAAGAGGTCCACCTTCCCAAGCCATCATCCAAGGTATTGGTCGTCTTTGCAAGGGAAAAACTCCAAAACCCGGTTTTGGGGTGCCCACTTTTGGAAAATCCCTCACATTGGCTGATGTTCGAGGTGTGCATCACTGCAAATCCAGCCTTGGAGATGCCGTGCTCTAGGAAAACAGACTCCAAGCTGCTACATTCCTGCAGCCAACTTTTCGGCAGCTGTCAGCTGCCAAAAACTCGCTTCCAACGAGCAACGAGCAATAGTCTTGGAGTCTTTCCACCAGGAGCCCTATTCTTTGACAGTGATCTCAGAAGGAAACGTAGGCCATAGGCCACCAAATTGACCAAAGTATTGAAGTCCAAGAAGCCACTGATTGTGATGTCTCCGAGTCCTGAAAGCAACTTGGACTTCCAGCTGTGCAATCATGAAAGTGAGTGAACTCTGCTGTCATCTGCTGGGTGTCTCTGTGGCCATTTATATAAACCACTTTAATGAAAAAATAATGATGTTTACCGTTTACCACTGGATCATGGCCAAATTTTCATGATTTTCAGGTTTAATGGGAAAATCATGATCTTATAATGTTGTTACCCCCTAAATTTCAGGTTTTTTGGGGGAAATATCATCTGTTTCCCCTGCCTGCTTGTCGTCATTGGCCTCGTCCCAAGCCGGTTGGACCAGCGACGGCCCAGTGGCCTTCAATTCAAACGAGTAGCGACCTCGGTGCGCCAAATTTTCGTGAATTTAAGGGGATCGAACCATGGAATGGGATGTGTATCTAAAATATAACCGATTCGATTTGCCATATTTAAATACACCACATTTATAACCATATTTAAGTTGTAAGATAACCATATATAGAATATAACCATGGGATAACCATATATAGAATATAACCATGGGATAACCATATATAGAATATAACCATGGGATAACCATATATAGAATATAACCCTGGGATAACCATATATAGAATATAACCCTGGGATAACCATATATAGAATATAACCCTGGGATAACCATATATAGAATATAACCAAGGGATAACCATATATAGAATATAACCACGGGATAACCATATATAGAATATAACCACGGGATAACCATATATAGAATATAACCACGGGATAACCATATATAGAATATAACCATGGGATAACCATATATAGAATATAACCATGGGATAACCATATATAGAATATAACCATGGGATAACCATATATAGAATATAACCATGGGATAACCATATATAGAATATAACCATGGGATAACCATATATAGAATATAACCATGGGATAACCATATATAGAATATAACCATGGGATAACCATATATAGAATATAACCATGGGATAACCATATATAGAATATAACCATGGGATAACCATATATAGAATATAACCATGGGATAACCATATATAGAATATAACCATGGGATAACCATATATAGAATATAACCATGGGATAACCATATATAGAATATAACCATGGGATAACCATATATAGAATATAACCATGGGATAACCATATATAGAATATAACCATGGGATAACCATATATAGAATATAACCATGGGATAACCATATATAGAATGGGATAACCATATATAGAATATAACCATATATAGGGGATAACCATATATAGAATATAACCATGGGATAACCATATATAGAATATAACCATGGGATAACCATATATAGAATATAACCATGGGATAACCATGGGATAACCATATATAGAATATAACCATGGGATAACCATATATAGAATATAATCATGGGATAACCATATATAGAATATAACCCTGGGATAACCATATATAGAATATAACCCTGGGATAACCATATATAGAATATAACCATGGGATAACCATATATAGAATATAACCATGGGATAACCATATATAGAATATAACCATGGGATAACCATATATAGAATATAACCATGGGATAACCATATATAGAATATAACCATGGGATAACCATATATAGAATATAATCATGGGATAACCATATATAGAATATAACCATGGGATAACCATATATAGAATATAACCATGGGATAACCATATATAGAATATAACCATGGGATAACCATATATAGAATATAACCATGGGATAACCATATATAGAATATAACCATGGGATAACCATATATAGAATATAACCATGGGATAACCATATATAGAATATAACCATAACCATATATAGAATATAACCATAACCATATATAGAATATAACCATAACCATATATAGGGGATAACCATATATAGAATATAACCATGGGATAACCATATATAGAATATAACCATGGGATAACCATATATAGAATATAACCATGGGATAACCATATATAGAATATAACCATGGGATAACCATATATAGAATATAACCATGGGATAACCATATATAGAATATAACCATGGGATAACCATATATAGAATATAACCATGGGATAACCATATATAGAATATAACCATGGGATAACCATATATAGAATATAACCATGGGATAACCATATATAGAATATAACCATGGGATAACCATATATAGAATATAACCATGGGATAACCATATATAGAATATAACCATGGGATAACCATATATAGAATATAACCATGGGATAACCATATATAGAATATAACCATGGGATAACCATATATAGAATATAACCATGGGATAACCATATATAGAATATAACCATGGGATAACCATATATAGAATATAACCACGGGATAACCATATATAGAATATAACCATGGGATAACCATATATAGAATATAACCATGGGATAACCATATATAGAATATAACCATGGGATAACCATATATAGAATATAACCATGGGATAACCATATATAGAATATAACCATGGGATAACCATATATAGAATATAACCATGGGATAACCATATATAGAATATAACCATGGGATAACCATATATAGAATATAACCATGGGCTAACCATATATCGAATATAACCATGGGATAACCATATATAGAATATAACCATGGGATAACCATATTTCACCATCTTTTCGTATTTGCCATGGTCAAGTTACATGGGATCAAGGGACAATTCGCCCAAGTTCTGATCATCGCACAAATGGGAATGTTCAAATTGTACTTATACATACTTATAGGGCACTGATCAAATCCATAGCCACATCCCAATCATTGCTTTTCCCCTACTATAATAAGCCATTTTGCATGTTGGGTATGGATCAATGTTCATCCTCGGGTGCATGTTGGGTATGTTCATCCCCCTCAACCGATGGAGAACGGCGCCAGTGTCAGTTACCACAGGTTCTTCTATTTCTTCAATAGAACGAGGCAAGCGAACCCGCTCAGCCCAGACACGTTTCTCATCTGGGCAGATAAATTTCTCAACGACGGTGAGCCTATCCTTGGAAAGCAACACTGTAACTCAAAAAGGTTCTGTCGCACAAGATCCAATGTCCTGAGGACTTGAGAATCCGTAAAGTATCAGAACAAAAAAAACTGCAACTTAAGCGGCCGTTGACACACTGAGGTGCTTTCCTCAGTGACAGCCTGTTTTCTTATGAATACCAAGCTGATTCTGATCATTTTCTTTCTATCTTGTTTTTTTGGTCAGAAAATGTCACAAACTTTTGACTCCAGCCACGTTGGGGCAGGTAAAAACTGGCTGAGCTATAGGGGTTGCGACATGGGCGTCTAAAAAGCGGATATATTATATACTATATATTATATATTATATATTATATATAATATATATTATATATAATATATAATATATTTAATATATTATATATAATATATAATATATAATATATAATATATAATATATTATATATAATATATAATATAATATATATATATCTCTATATACCCGAAAATTTGGTTTGGTAGCTCATAATTTTGAGAGTTTAAGCCAAGATATAGCCATTCCAATGGGGAAAATGATAATAACTGGATTCTGGATAACACTAAGCTCTTCCGAGTTCGGCCATATTGGGAGAGTTACCCATTCTATAACCCTTCTTCCAAATGATAAATCCAGATGTGTCTGAAAATGAGAATCGTATACCCCCAAATAACCATCGTTTTTTAGTGAAAGTTATCATAAACCAATGGATTTGGCGCCATGGATGATTATCACTAGTGGTTCATAGTGAATGTGATAATAACCCAATATACCAATAGATTTGGTACCATATTTCACCCGATTCCAGATGGATGGTGTGCCTTGAGGCCATTCGAGGCCGCCGTCCTGCGCAGCGCCGCCACGGCGGGGCCATAGGCATCGATGGCCAGAGCGCGAGTCCTAACACGGCGAGACAAGTCCCTGGACGGGGTGGCACTGGGGCAAAACCCGTTGGTTTCTTCAATAATAAAAATATATAGATTATGTTTATAAATAGATATATATATATATATGATTATATGATGTTTGTTACATTTTAGAGTGGATGTGCAACACGGCTCGCGAAATCGAAGCAGCCACTCAGCCACTCAGCCACTCTGCCAGAGAGGCTGGACCAGCAGCCACTCAGCCACTCTGAGTGACTGGGCGGCGAATGGCTGCGGCAGAGTGGCTGGTCTAGCCACTCTGGCAGAGTGGCAGAGTGGCTGAGTGGCTGAGTGGCTGCTCCAGCCCCTCTGCAGACCTGGCAAGAAAAGAATCGTCATCCCTGAAAATATGAGCGGTGCACCCAGGATGACCTGACACCACCCCTGAAGGCAACCCCCGCCACCGCTTCCAGAAGAGCAGCAACACAAGAATGTTGGTTCGTGGCTTCCATGGGACTGAGCACCGTGATAGGTCTGATGCTTTCAACCGCCAAAAATTCATTGGTGGTTGCATGTGTACACACTCCTGTATGTCGTAAAATTCCTCGGGCGCTTGTTCAAACCTTTCCCAGTTGATGGCCACAAACCGGAAAGACACCCCAGCATTTGGGGGTTTGACTTCATGGGCTCGCCACCCATTAACACTCGCAGGCCCCTTCCGCAGAGAATTTCACAACACTTAAAAGCAACATGTCACAGCCGTGGGTTCCCAAAATCCCTTCGTGAGGAGGATGAGCGAATTCAACGACATGAACTTCATGGGGAATGGCTTGTTGGGCTCAAAATTGCCCCAAAAAAATTATGATCGTGTCCACAGCTTCCTTGGGATGTTCAACTGGATTGAACCATACGATCCCATTAACCTGAAAAGCTGCCCTGGCTTGAAGCCATCTGCCCAAACCCTTGGGATCACCGCTTAAGCGTCGTTCCTCCACTTCTGCAGGTGCAGCCTGCGTGGCTTTTCCCTGTCCTTTCTGTCCTTTCTGAAGGTCTGACGTGTGGAGGCTATGTCTTGGTGAAGTTCAGCAAGCAGTCCACGATGCCAGCTTTCGACGGCTTGGTGAATTTCAGGCTACCTTTTGCCCACACGTTGTGCTTCCATGCTCAGGTACCATTCCGCCAGGTGGGAAGGTGACCTTTGACACCGGCCTTGGTGCGATCTTTGCATTCCTTGGCAGAAATCAAGCCACCAGCATTGAGGCTTTCAAAACAAAAATCAACATGCCCTTCAACTTCTCGAAAAGACATGCCAACCCTCCTGCACTCCAAAGTTCTTGAAGACTTTCAGTGGACAATTGGTTGCTCCTCCCAAGCTTTTTCCAGCCGACCTAACTTGAAGAAATCGAAGGGTAGAAAATCAAATTCCAGCAGTCAAGAAATCTGTTTCCTTGCCACCGAGTGGGTCTGCTTTGAGACACCAAAGAGCCACTCTGCCGCAGCCACTCAGCCACTCAGCCACTCAGCCCTTCTGCCAGAGTGGCTGGAGAGCCATTGGAGTGTAAGCGATATTACCCAAACCTAATTTTTCTTAGGTCTGGGTAGTATCTCAAGTGAGGTTTTATGCTAATTTAGCGCCCCTTCCTTGGCACTGGAGCATATATTCTTATGGGTTGAATGGAATCTTAGGCAAACAGGCAAACATCTGTGTTAAAGGGTTGTGAGAAAGAAGTCATTAGTCATTTGTGTTAAAGGGGTTCGCTCTGTGGGTCTCTACGGGTCATCATGGCGAAAGGAATGAGACATTTGGCTATAGTTCCAATGTTTTCATATATGTATGTTATTAAAGAAATTATATATATATACAGCTAGACACAAACACACCTAAGGTCATATCATCCACCTCCATCATTTCATCAGTTACCACTGTTCATTTTCACAACATTTCATATAATTTCATCACAGTATCAACACAAAAAATAAAAATAATTTCATACATCATCATCCCACATCATTTCATCATCATCCATCATCACATAAATTCATATCATAAAATTTCATCATAATATTTTATCATAATATATTATTATAAAATAATATCATAAATCTAAATCATCCATGTCTAACATTCCTATGTTCGTATCATATTTTTCATATATTATGATATGAAAAATTATGGGGTTAAAGTCTTTAAAGTTTTTTGGTATAATGGTTTTCCAGATTTGTTTCAATTTTGCAATTCTGGTTTCATCATCTTTTAAGTATTCCTCTATATCTTTTTGTTTTTTCTCTTCTTCCTTTTTGAGTTTTTCCTTGTTGGAATGCCTGTCGGTTTTAAGATGTTTGGACAACCTGCATTGTTTCACATTCCGTTGGCAAATGTCGCAGAATACTTCCTTTTGATTATATACTTTGCTACTCTCCTTTTGTTTGTCCAAGCATTCAATACACATTCTATTCATTCCATTGAACTCGTCACCATTTTTGTTTTTCTTACACTTTGTGCACTTTCTATTCTCCATCCTATTATAAGGTATTATCCTTTTTAATTTTAAGTGTATTTCCTTATATCATAAAATTTCATATTATCTGATTTGAAAATTTATGGGGTTCAATATAAATTGCTTGTTGTATTCTTTCATACACTTTGTCAAATTTATTCTCGTCAATAATAGTATTTCCAATAAACTGTTCATTGTCTTTGATATACAACAATATTTTTCTTAAACAATCTATAAAGGTTTCATGATTAAAGTTATCATCCATACAATCAGCATCATTAATATTCATTTCTAACATGCAGAATCAAAATGACTCATTATATTTGAGCAACTTTTACAGGCTACATATTCACAAAGTTTATTACCAATACCATCGGTAAAATCCTTTGGATAATTCATTTTATTGTTGCATATTCACTACATTTACAGCTTAAGATTTTTGGTTTGATGTATTCTTCTTGATTGATTTCACGTTCACTACTTGTATCACTGAATGACATTTCGCTCATACATATATATAATATTCCTTTAAGTAGATTTCCTATAAATGGTACAGTAATTTATATGTTCAGCAATTCATGCCTCAATAGTGGTCTATTGTATCCTTCTAATGTATAATATGTTTGATTCAATTTTTCATCAATGGACTCTACTGTATACTCACCTTTCAAAAAGTATGAGGTTCTCTCCTTCTCCGTTGTTGCTTTCTTCCTTTTGATTTTTGCTTCGTCTCCCACAGATAGTTCAGGATAGAGCCTCTGTTTCTTTGCTTTCATTGCAATGTTTAATCTTGACTTGAATTCATTGTCTTTATCTCTGGCTTTATACGGTGTTTGACCAGTAGCGGAATGCATATCTTTAGTATCTATGTAGTCTATCCATTGTACATTAGTTTGTTATTCTTTTCATCGTTCTCAACTCTTTTGAATAATTTGTCTTTAAAAGTTTTTATAAAAAGTTCGGCAAAAGCAGGGTGGCCTCTTGTCCTATACAATTCAATGCCTTCGCTTTCTACATATGCTTGGAATTCACCACTTGCTATAGTTTTCTCGTCGTCGGTGTATATGATTTCAGGTTTCTTGCCCATCTTCTCTATCGCTTTCTTTGTTCCTTGAACAACACTGCCTGTCTCTTTCCTTCTTACTGGGACTACGACAACAAACTTACTCAAACAATCAATACAAACTAATCCAGCTCTGTATCTACCTTTAAATATTTTTTGGAAATAAAGAATATATCAACTTGGTATCTATGATTGTTATGTGGAGCAACAAAGCTATTATAGCCTCTCGGGTTCATTTTTATCTCTACGCTCTTTTTGAAAAAATATTCAACATCTTTCATAGTAATAGATTTGTTTTTCTCTCTTGCATCCTTCAAAGTAGTGTTTTTGGAACCAAACCCTGCTTTATCGAAATATATGTTTCCTATGATTTCTTGCTTACTCATATCAATATGTTATTAAGTTTATTATTTGAAAAAATCTAATGAATCTAATGTGAAGAAGAATTGCAGTGGCAACAATAAGCCTCGCAGTTGTCAATGGAATGGCACAGTCCATTATCAACTCTCTGTGCCGTAAAGTTTCTTGACAATTTGCCACCCCTGGTATCAAGATTAAATTTAACTCCACAGTTTGCACAACAACCCTTGAACATCTTCAAACATGTTCATCAATGTATTCATCAACTATTTCTCTTCCTCCTTTTCTGTCTTGTCCTTTGTAACCTTCAACCTTGTTTTTAAAATAGTTAACTACCAAATTCTTAAACACATCTTCGTCGGCTTTATCATTTTTGAAAAATATACATTATTGAAATATGTTGCTCTGGTTACAGCACACCATAGCCATTCTTTGCTCACCTAATAGTCGTTGTAATAGTTGCTTCCAATCCTGAACTTGTAGGGTTCATCACCACTCTCTTTCTTTTTCAGTGATTTCAGGTTATGGTTCAAAGTGTACATGCGGCTGTTCTTAATCAATCCGTTGAAGTTATGTAGCTATGGCAGTTGAAGTTTACAGGGTTATGTTTGTAAATCAAGTTGCTGTCAATGTCATATAATGTTGCTTGGATATTTAAAAACTTTATCCGTCCATTTCATTGATTGATGACTCTGCCGCAGCCACTCAGCCACTCAGCCACTCAGCCGCTCTGCCAGAGTGGCTGATGCAGCCACTCAGCCACTCTGCCAGAGTGGCTGAGTGGCTGATGTGAAAATTTCCGCCATTGCGCGTTCAATCTGTATAATGAGCAAAAATTGATGAACTGATGTGTTTTCCAATGAAACTTGGAACTTTGGTTACGATAATCCCCTCCCAACAGTCACCCTTCCAAGTATGGCAGGCATCCCAAAATGAAGAGATCCACTATGAAACCAAACCAAAGTTTATGGGGGTAGTTTATTGTTAGGGGGAAGGGATTACATTCACAATCACATCAATCACATCATGCACGTTTCGGGGTCTGCTGATTTTTGGACTTGCCTGGTCTTGCTCCTTTGAATCGAGCCCAAGTCGTCTTGTTTCAATCCCTTTGTTTTGCCGGAATCCCTTTTATTTTTGTCGGTTAAATCCAAACTATACTATATCCAAACTTAAGGGTGTTGGTTTTAATTCCAAGTGCGAAGAAAATCCCCTTGTTTCGTATGCAGAATCCTATAGGAGCTTCCATCTGAGGTTGGTGCTGAGGTGGCAACTGGGACAGAGCATGAAGCACACAGCCTGCTAAGTCAATGGATGGTGGCTTCCGCTGACCCGAAATGGGGATTGAACCAAGCAAGATATGGGGATTTCACCATCAACATATTGGATTTAACCAACAAGAAAATTAAGATTGACAACCAGAAGTCATGTTCACCCTAAAAGTATCTAAAAGTGGGATTGACCCTACCAAGGCTGGGATTCAAACAAACCATCAAGTGGGGATGCAAGCGGCCAACCAGAATTGAAACTAAAATGAGGACATGACCAATAAAAGAATAAAAGCATTGTGTAGTAATCTAATCCCCCATTGTCAGTCGAAAGAGACAAGGCAATTCCAAGTTGCACTGAGCCAAAACGAGGGCATTAGAATTTGCAACTAGTCCTTGATGTTCTGCATCGTAGCTTTGACCCTCTGCGGTTAGAGCGTTCAACCATGGCCCATTCCAAGCTGTTGCACCACTTGTGGGGATTGGAATTTTTCATGGTTGTACTGGTGTACTTATAGTGATACCCCAGGGCCCCAGGTGCTGCGAAACCATCCCGATGTTTCCACAGTGCCTCCTAAGGCTGTACCAATTTCCACCACCACCAAGGGCTGCTGAGCGCCACGATACTCTTCAACCAAATCTTTGAAGACCAGGTCCTCAGAAAGCTATCCATATGTCATTATAAGCCATGGTCGGGACATGGTACATGGCATATGGGTTATGGATGGTCATGGTCATTAGGAATTCCTTTTATGTAATGGGTATGTGAATTCCTATTAATGGATTGATGACCATTCTCCAATATGGGTATATAATCCAACTCTTGAGTATGGCACATATGTGAGTAGAAGATATCATCCCGGTCATGAGGAGTTATGAAAAATCATGAAGAATGCTGGTGTCATGCTACGCAAATACACACTTTGCAAATGTTTCACCGGGTTCTTGCCAGAGGTCATGGAAATATAAGTACGGTATCGGTCAAAATTCCAAACCTAGGAACCATAGATTTGGTCATCAAATTGGGCACCCCCATTCGGACCCATGCCCACAGATGCCCACAGATCATAGTAAAGATTAGTAAAGATCCATGCTCTTTCCAATGAACTGTACAAGTCTGGACAAGCCAGGCTGCGCAGTGAAGTTCAAAGAATGCCCGAACGTGATTGGACTCCACATTCCGCGTGGGCAACAGGTGCACCAGAAATTGCTGCTCTCCAAAGATCGGAGAAGTCTCGGGGGAATTGGACAATGCTGGGTTTTTTTTGATGGAAATGGCCATGAACTTGGTGTAGCACCCACAAAACAGAGGAGAAATCTCATTACCAGAACAAAAAGTCTCAACACATATCAACACAAAAGCACCAAAAACAACCACATGTAACCACAGCAAAAATCACAGGAAAAAGCCTTACCGGTTTTCATCATCCAGAAGCATGTAGGAAAATAGGCTCCAAGACTTGACTGTCAAGTCGATCCAACACTTCGAACAAAGGCACCTGAGTTGCATGCACGATGAGATAAATTGAAGTGAAAAAAACAAAACAAACCTTGATTTATCAATGTTTATCATCACCCCTGTTAAAATGGCCATTAACTGCATGAACTGGGGGTGAATCCCCCATGTTCAGACAAATCCATATCTAACTTCAAGAGATTTCAAGAGCACCAAATCCTCATCTGGTTTGCCACTCTCAGCCGTCATGACTTCATTTTTCCATGGCCCCAGTCCATTCCCATGTCACAAACAACTGCGGCACCGGTGTGCGCCACACCGCCAAGAGAATGCCCTCGTTTTCCGTCATTTTTTCGGGAGAAGCCGCCTCCATCGAGTCGTGGTTGGTGGCTTTGGGTGTTTGCCCCACTCTGAGTGTAGGAAAAAAAGAAGAAGCCAAACCCCAAAGACTTTGAGGATGTTTTCTTGGTCTTTCCAAGTTTATTTCAGCATCTAATTTTGAAGCTGGCTGGGAGCAGGAGCCATACCTGTTATACAATGACGAGGATATTCACATACCAAAATCGCGGGACACTCACCAAGAGTGACTGCGAAAAAAAAAAGGCACTGTTCTGCGAGGTTTACCTCATCCCAAACATGTACTCATCAAATGCGTGGGGTTTTGGAGTTTTTCTGCAAAAACAGAAAGGACAGGCAAACCAACGCTTCTGGCAGCCGCCTTGATGTGAAAGTAGACTTGTCGAAGGAATCGTTGACCATAGTCCACCAAACGATTCATTTCGTCACGGTCTTTTCCCATCAGGCCTTTGGTGAATCAAGGTTGCATGTGGCTGTCACGTAGGTATGGTCTGAGTTCATCTCCCAATCCAAATGGCTATGGTATGATACTGACCCATCTGTCCATCTTGGGATCCTGGAAAAATGTAAGGAGCTGTAAGGAGCCGGTTTGGCATACCATTTACCACTCTTCTACTTGGTGGTTCCTCAAAAAAGAGTTCCCCAAAAAACAACCAACCAGTGGGAAAAGGAAAAGGACATGGTGAGGTTGCCCAAGTTGCCTCCAGAACCAGGAATGCCATAGGCCTTCGTGATTCGTATGAAATCCTCAACGTTCAGGGCGAACTGGCTTCAGTTCAGGGCATCCATCCAATTAGGAGTGGAAAATAACCTGTGTATGATCGGGGGAATATTTCATGGATTCTATGTAGAGGGGAGAGGACATCCAAATAAGGAAAGGAACAGTTGGCAGGAAAATTGCAGCCAAGAGCATGTACGCCACTGGACGAAAATTTCGTCCATTTATATGACAGGCGAATGTGTCCCAAAGATCAGCCCACCAACTCTCTATTCTCAGTCAAGAAACGGTGTTTGTGGAAGGTTTTTGGTTTCTTTACTTTAGAACTTTAGAAACTCACATTGCAAACGAGTCTGAGACCCTGTGAAGGATTCAACCATCTTGCTGTCTTTGCTATGACTGCATGTGTTCAGCGGATTCCTCAAACAAACTTTCGTCAAATCCCTCAAATCCCAGAGATCAACGTCCGTCGAAGCTGGTGAAGCAAAGCCAAGGATCTGCTTCAGCAAACAAAAGCGTCGCTCGTTCAAGGGTAGAAATCTTAGGACCTGAGCGCAAAATAACCACGAGAAGAACACTTTGACCGGCCCTTGCTCCTTGAGATGTTCCAATCAAACATAATCAAACATCTTTGTTTCAATTTTTGTTTCTACAAAGACATACCACAAGTATCCACAAGTGCAGTGATGTGCTATGCATCCTATGCATCTCGCCCGAGACACGCTCGAAGTCATGTGAGCTCCAGCCCTGTAGCTGCAACATCTCCAGGGGCGAAATCTGCGGGGCATCCAGGTCCAAGTACGTCCGCAAGGCTCCCGCCAGAGCTTCGCCTCCAGCGGTGTCTTGTTAAGTCTGTTAAGTCATCCATCTCGGGTTAGTATGGGTTAGTGAGATTTGGGTGTAGAGTCTCAACTCGTCTCAACCAAGTGAATTGAAAATCTGGTGCTTGAGGAAGCCTCCCATTCCAAATATCACTGCGAATCATCGTTCGAAAATGTTCGAAATCACCGTGATGCTGCCACTTCGCAACCCTGCACTCCATTAGCACTCCATTTCACCTCTTCACAAATTAAGAACGGAATCTTCTCGCTATTTCAACGTCTTGCCAGGAAAACGACAACAAAGCTGTTTAAACTAAAAATGTGACTCTGCTGGTACTCTGATGTACTTTCGCAGCATGATCACATCAACCGGTATGATCACCAGGACCATCTTCCTAGCGGAAAACTTTCTCCGAGTTTCTCTGTGGCGTCTGCAGAACTCCTTTTTCTCCAAAATACTCCGGGAACTTTTCCCCGACCACGTCGAAGATGGCTCCCAGATGAAACCACGGTGCAAAGCTCGTTCCCGAAGACAAGTAGCCTACAGGTCGGATTGCTGGGCGCCGATGGAGCGGCTGAAACTATTCATTTCACATGGTTTCACATTGTCAGGTCGAGATCTCACAGACATTGCTTTACTTGGAAGGAGACTAGAAAGCTGATGCGCCTCCATTCATTACAACATGTGACAACATCAGGTTCACCGCATCGCAGAAATGTTGGTAAAGATGCCTATATTTTCGCCGATGCAAAAAAGAAGTGCTGCCACAGGTGCAGAAGATGCTAGCAATTTAACGGAGATTTCATGGATAGCAACATGATATGACATGAACATCGAGTTTTTTTGTGCTGGCCTGACATGTTGTTGGTGATGAACTCGCGCGCCGCGTGCTCTGCTAATTTGATTCTGCGCGCCACTCCGTCCCACCAGTCATCTGTGGGTTGAAACTGTGCAATCTCATGCGCCAATCGCGCGAAGACAACGCTGCCTCAAAGGCGCCACAGCTACCAAAGCGGTCGCAAAATTCACCGATGGGACCATGTATAACATATAGCATGATAAACATAACATGTAACATTGAGTGTGAGAGAGAGAGAGACAGGGACAGGATGGGACAGGGATGTGGATAGATTGGATTAGATGTGATCAGATAAGATTGGATTATATAGATTTGGATTGGATTAGATTAGATTGGATTAGCTTCGATAGATAGATGAAACTTTCTTTAACTCAAAACTGTTTCGTTGAGTTTCTCAATTTAGCAAGGCAGAATCCTGAGATCCTATCGATGCTAGCTCAACCAAGAATCGATCTTTCGTTCATCTTTCGATTGGTTTAAGTAAAATACCATGTTTTGGTTCACAGTGAATACATGTGAATACTACTATACTAGACTATAGGTTTTTGCCCTTGCAATTCTGGAAATTCTGGAAATGCAACACCATAGAGTGATTTTTGTGTCCGCCGTCACTTCAACAAAGCCAAGCTCAACCAGGTTGCGAAAAGCTGCGGGGCAGACTGACCATGTATTCATCTCGTTTGCTTTCTGCAATACTTTGAAGTCCACGGTCTGAGCTCGGGAAAACTCAACAAAACTAGGTGAAACATGTTTGGCTGTTTGCATTTCTTAACAGAACAAACAAAATCTGGGCAGCAGGCATCGTAAGGCATTCGCATTCGTACAAATGCCAGTAGCATTCTGCAGCTTTGTGCGCCTCAAAAAAAAAAAGATCAAATCCGAGTGCACCGAATGCAAAGTCACAGGGAAATCCTGCAGGTTCAGCAAAAGTCGAGGATTTTGTCCGCCATACTTGGATTTCATGTCTTCAGTCGCTGAGTCGTGAGAAAAAGTGACCATGCCCTGCTTCTATCCGCTATCCCTGCCAAGTTTCAATATTCTTTGGTCTCTTCACTCCGCGGCAGCGAGTTGCATTGCTCAATCTCTGCTGCCAATCTCGACCTCGGAGACTGACTTTGAGGGGAAATGTTGGTCCATGGGGATTCAACTTCAATCCAGGAGAGATATAAAAACAACCCAAAAAGTCGCAGATCACATCTGCTTTCTGTGGCTTACTAAATAGGTCTATCTATAGATAGTATACTGTGTGTATCTCAAATAGTATCCAATTTTGTGATGCATCACAAAATTGCTGGAAGATCATCAACCGTCGATCCTTCCGGACAGTGTCGGTCGTTGCTCGATTGACGATGTTGATGCACATTCCGATCGTTATAATTACTCTATCATGATCATGAGTGTGATGAGGTTTGCAATTATGGTAAATGACTATGACTCTTTGATTTATGATATGTCTTGATTATGATGATGATCATGATAGTAATGATGCAACAAATGCCACAACCAGCAGTAGGACATGGGATGAGAGTCAGAGTCTGGCGTGTGGACATGTGTGCATATAGACAAGCACCTGAAAAAAAATAGTCGGGTTCCTTTTGTACTCTTACCTGGCCTGGACATTCATCCATTTAAAGATAATTATTATAATAATTAATAGTTTATATTATAATGATACTATTGATGGTTTATCAGTTGTTCATGATCTATAGATCATCTTCTTATATGTTCCCCATCAAAAATAGTTGAATGTGCCAGCCAGAGTTCGAATGCAACTGAGACCACGACCAGAGAACTGTCGCCCAAACCAACCATTTGGCAATGGACATTGCCGGGTGAGACGGCTTTGGCCATCCGTGGTCAACATCCTTGATCTGATATGCTGAAATCATGCGTTTCTGGCCGCTTGAATCGCAAACATGCCTAAACTCGGAAATGGGAGAACACTTACTGGCTGATACTGGCTGAACATGTCGTGTACAAGGGCTCACCTGATCTACCGAACCTCAGAACAACACACCATTGCTTTCCTTGTCCAGCAGTCTTTTGGACGAATGTCTAGAGGCATTGGGAAACAATTGCCAAACAGCCTTCTACGCTGTTGGACTCAATCGATCACGTCCCCTGGTTGTCAGGGGCTGCCCGTCGCTTAAATTAAAACCAGCGGTCAAAGCTCTGCAGAGATCCGTTTCTGTGTAGTGTCCAGCAGCATCAGCAAAAGGAAAATCGACAAAGTAATCACCAGAAGGCATCTGAACAGCCAGTACACGACAGACAAACATCTCCAAGTTTTGCCATCCTCAATTTCTTCTCCTGAAACCTCAGCAGCTGGCTGTGGCACGTCATGGCTATTGTCAACACTATCGAAGAAAAAATCCTCCGCGGAATGGTTCGGCCGCTGCAAACAGCAAGCAAACAACCAGGCAGACCAATCGTCATTCAGATCTGACCCATTTTTTGGAGACGGTGAAGGTGCAGCAGTGGCTTTCCTGGCACATCTGTACAGTTCATCCTCCAATTTGGACACTTGTCGTCCATGAGGCAACAGAAAGGAGTATGCCATCCCCAAAAGTTTCCTACGTTCGGGTTTCCAACGCTCTCCAACACCCAGGTATCCACCTTGGATCTCCGACGGCAAATCCTCGGAACGATAGCCGAAGCGCCGCAACAGTGGCCACTCATCCGTTTCCATGTCGACTTTGGATCGAGTGTTCTCGTCCACGAACCACATGACTTGACGGACCAAAGAAACAAAAGAAGATGGGACCGGATAAACAACTGCCACTTTCAACCTTTCTGGATAATTGTTCTGAAAGACTTTGACCATCACATGTGCCCAAGCAACAGGTGGTGGACTGCCGAAAACAATGGCACAAATTTGATGTACTCCGCGTTCTTCCATTGAATCGATGGCCTCCTCAAAAAAACGAATGGATGCCTGCACTAGCGCCAGCTGTGAAATTTCGTGGGTTTCAAATTCACCGAAGAGGAAGTTCACAAGAAGGACAGGGCAACCGTCAGTGTCTGGTCGCAATGTGCGAAATCGAAGATCTTCATCCAAAAGTTGCGCAGTCAAACCTTCCCTCGGGATAGGAAAGACCCGCGATCTCCAATGCAAATTTTCAATGAATTGTTTCTTGGCTGCAAAAACATCCCCTTTTCGTGCTACGATAAAGCGATGAAGGGTCGCATCAGTACCAGACGGGGACTTCTGCCAGGGATGTTCGTCTCCATCAACTGTTCGGTATGGTGGCAAATGTTCCGCACAGAGTTCGCTACGCAAGTGACGCACACTCTCAGCCGTTCGGGTTCGCCAGCTGTCCATGGTTCATGGTAAACCCCACATGGTCAACAAACCAAAAACGATGACGGTGTCATTTTTGAAATTTAATGATTCAAAACAAACTGGCCATACGTTCACCAAAGTTTCAATGAACCAAAACTAGTGAACCAATTTGTTGGTCGTGCAACCACTGTGCAAAATTTGATCCATTGATACACACATGCACATCGAATCTTTGAATTTGCTGAATGGCAAGCTAGTGCGTTTGCGAATGAACAAATACGTGCAACAAAACGCAGTGGACAATTTGAATCGAAGGGCTGCAATGCAAATCCTGCATGATGTCATGGAAACAGCGATGGTAAACAAAATGATGCACAAAACAAAATGACAAACACCAATGGGACGGGCGTCACATTCGCCCCTACCCCAGGGTCACATCCGCCCCCACCCCAAGTAGGGTCACATTCGCCCCTACCTCTCACAAACCTTTCCATTGAATAAGTCATTCAACCTGTTAAGGTTTGTTTGACAAGGCACATTTAGGGGCGACTTGGGGACATTCGTTAGGGGGGAATGGGGGACATTGGTTAGGTCACCTGCCTCACTATTGAATAAACCATTCAACCTTTTAGGATTTTTTTTACAACTGTTACGTTGTAACATCCATTTCAAGTAACTCCCAAAACGCTGTGGACGTTACGTTGTAACATCAATTTCAAGCAACTCCAAGACCCTCTGGATCCTACACTGCAACATCCATTTGAAGTCAGTTCCAAGACGCTCCGGATTCTACGTTGTAACATCCACTTGAAGTCACTTCCAAGACGCTCTGGATGCTATGTTTTAACATCCATTTCAATCAACTTCCCAGACACTCTGGATGCTACGTTGTAACATCCATTTCAATCAACTCCCAAGACGCTCTAGATGCTACGTTGTATCAGCCATGTGAAGCAACTTCGAAGACGCTGTGGATGCTACGTTGCAACATCCGTTTCAATCAATTTTCAAGACTCTTGGGGTCTTGGGATGCTATGTTGCAACATCCATTTCAATCAACTTCCAAGAGGCTGTGGATGCTCTGTTGTAAGATCCCAATTCAATTAAATTCCCAGACGCTCTGGATGCTACATTCTTACATCCATTTCAGGCAACTCCAAGACACTCTGGATGCTACGTTGTATCAGCCATGTGGAGCAACTTCCAAGATGCTGTGGATGCAATGTTGTAAGATCCATTTCGATCAACTTCCAATACGCTTTGGATGCTACGTTGTAACATCCATTTCATTCAACTTCCAAGATGCTCTGGACACTACGTTGTAACATCCGCTTGAAGTCACTTCCAAGACGCTCTGGATGCTACGTAGCATCCACTTGAAGTCACTTCCAAGATGCTCTGGATGCTATGTTGTAACATCCATTTCAATCAACTTCCAAGACGCTCTGGATGCTAAAATGTAACATCCATTTGAATTCTCTTCCAAGACGCTCCGGATGCTACGTTGCAACATCCATTTCTACCAACTTCCAAGACGCTCCGGATGCTACGTTGCAACATCCATTTCAACCAACTTCCAAGACGCTCTGGATGCTACGTAACATCCACTCGAAGTCACTTCCAAGACGTTCTGGATGCTATGTTGTAACATCCATTTCAATCAACTTCCAAGACGCTCTGGATGCTACTTTCACGTGCAGCGATGCAGGCAAGTTTTTCAGTTTTGAGTGTTGACCATGAAGGGAACAATCCAGTCGTACCCTTAGTACAATTGGACCTCACCACCGAGTCGGGTGAAACTATTCTTTGGGATATGTTGGATTCCAAACAATTGGTTGCAGTGCACCTTGGGTTACCATGCGGGACAGCAAGCCTCGCCAGAGCCAGAGAACGACCCGTCTCTCAGATGCTGCAGTCCCAAGGGGCCCCTAACCCCCCACCTTTGCGCTCGGCAGAGTGCCCACTGGGGTTATGTGGACTTGGTGATGTCCACCAAGCCAAAGTCAACAGCGCCAACAAGCTATACTGGTTAGCAATTTGGGTCATGGTCTTCTGGTTTGAACGTGGCATAATCTTCAGCATCGAAAACCCAGCTAATAGCTGGCAGCTAATAGCTGGCTCTGGGCAGCTCTTGTGCAACTTTCCCTTCAACACTCTAGGGAGACAGCAGAGATTTACAACAAGTTGGACAAGGTGATTTTCCACGCTTGCTGTCATGGGTCCACAAGACGTAAGAGCACAGGATGGCTGAGTACAAAAGGGATCTACGCAGGACTCGCTGCGACATGTCAAAATGACAACCCACGCGAACTATGGGGTGTTCGGTGGAGCAATGGAGCTTGGTTCGACACTGCGTCCGAAGCTGCGTATCCAGCGTTGTTGGATCAGAGGGTGGTTGCTTGTTTTAGCAGGCGTTGCCGTGCAGCGTGGATACACTTTGCAGAAACCCAACAGGTTGCATGACATGTCCACAGCAGTGCATTTTTTTCCTCGGAGTGTGGCCGATTAAGCTCAGTGGCTTGGTCCTTTGCACTGATGCAATAAAAGTGAGAGCATTGGAAACGAATTCAAAAATGAGATGCTGTACAGCCGTGTCGAAAGAGCATACTGAAAACACATCAACAAAAGGCAACCAAAGAACACAAAACAACCAAAAACCCACCGAAGAACGCGAAATGCAAGTCCCCCTGGCAGACTTGCGTATCGGGTCAACGCAACGACACAAAACCCACCAGGAAAGGGGCCGGAGCCCAACACAAACAAACCAACACAGTGTGCCGTATGCCTACACGGCAGAGGTGCTGGGACCATGCAAATGGATGCTTCCCACCTCTTCAAAAACACCTTTCTCAGTAGTAAGTTTCGTGAGGGTCATTTGTTTGGGTGTGATATGTGTTTTTTACCAACTTCTGTACGCAGGGTCCTCCAGAAGCGTTCTGCACCCTTGATTTTTTTTTTGTCCTTAAAAACGTATATCGAGGGGAAAATCTCAAAAAACCTCCTATGCCCACTTCCTCACACTTTTCAGCTGTCATCCAGCCTGCTATTCCCAACTTGGTGATTGAGTATCATATAGTACATTATCGTCATTACATTCATGAGACTCAATGTTTGAATTTTGTCTGGATTTGTCTGGATGATGATCTGGATCATAAACTTTTAGGGTTTAGGGTTTACGGTTTAGGTTTTAGGGTAGATGTTGAGGATGTGTTGACACATTCTGGGAATTTGTCTAAGTTTTTTGGTAACTGTATATTGTTGTCAGAATCTTCTGAGAACTGCTGACAGATTTTTTTGATTGTTGATTGTTGTTAGAATTTTCTGATTGTTGTCATAGGATGTCATAGGTATCCGATTGTTGTCAGAAATTTCTGATTGTTGTCAGAATTTTCTGATTGTTGTCAGAATTTTCTGATTGTTGTCAGAATTTTCTGATTGTTGTCAGAATTTTCTGATTGTTGAAGTTGTTCATCGATTGTTTTGATTGTTGAAGTTGTTGTCAAGTGTTCTCAGAATTTTCTGATTGTTGTCAGAATTTTTCTGTCTGACAACAACCAAAAACTTCCCACAATAACTCCAACAGTCCAACAGTCAGAAGAAAATACCACAAGAATCAGAAAACGATGACAGCAATTAAGAATCAGAAAGTTCTGACAACAACTCCAATCGAAATCAGATCATTCTGATATAATGATATTAATAACCCCAACAACAATCAGAAACTTTGACAAAAATGCCAAAAATCAAAAAAACTAACAACTATTGGCAACTATCATACATTTATCAGGAAATTATGACAAGAATGGACACCAAGGACGTCGACGCCGGAAACGGCAAGATCATCGTCTCCGTCAATCTCGCAAATCGAGTGATCAAGAAAATCTAACGTTGTAGCCAATGGGCGGTCGTGTTGATAAACCATGGATTCGGTATTTTTCTCGATATCCGGTTTCGGAATACGAACACCTGTTGAGGGGTCAACGTCAACGAATTCCCCTGAGGTATTATGCCCATGGCACAGGCGAAAAATGGCGCCATGCAAGATCCAGAAAGGGCTGCTCTTATTACCTGTCTCAATCTGGTGGTGCCCCAAAAGTTCTATAAATGTGCCTACATCGTGAGCGCCGCGGATAAAGATGGCCAGAGATTGCGATTGGATGGCAGGGTGGACTACCATGCCGATCATACCGTACTCCTTGGCAATTTCACGAAGGCAATTCCTCCGTATTCGTCGGAAGCTTCACATAAACACACAATATGGGCCGCATTGCGGAACACTAAGTGTGGAAGGGCACGATGATTAATATCAGTTCTAATCCATTTTGGAAATTTTGAACAACCTCCGATATACGGAACACGGTTGATGTGACCAAGATTCAAAGTCAAAATGCCAAGCTGATATGTGTCTTTCTGGAATTCATTAATGTTATCCTTAGTACGCTTGACAACACCTTGGACTGCTCTTTTTATTGGAGAATTTCTTCGGTCTCAAGGTCACCGCCGTCAGGGTACTTAAAATAAGCTTCTAGTCTCCAAATCGGAAGCGGCGTCTGATCCTGGGCGTCAATGTGGTGTTCCTGAAGAGTAGGAATTCGAATTCCATCTGGCATAGAGTAAATATAACCAGTGTAATCTTTTTTTCCGTCCAACGCCTTCATGGCTTCCGCCAGGTCGTTCAACACGTTCAAGTGCATGTTGCAAAATCGGTTTAATTTATTAATTAACGCATACACATGGCCGTCAATTTACTATTCATCTTTTTGCTGCGGTTGAACGTGTGTAACGACCTGGCATGAAGGCGTTGGACGGAAAAAACGCATGCACATGGCCGTCTGCAGATTGAGGGGCCACAAGAGTGAACTGGTAAAGGACCTGTACACAGTCCAGTAGGCCGTCACGAAGTCGCCACAAACAAACCAAAACCAAAACCAAAAGCAAAAACCAAACAAACAAAACACAAAAAGCAACAACACAAACCACACAAGCCAAACGACGACGTGACAGGTGCCAGTTCATGGGTTAATTAATGCAAGAGGTGATAACATTGTATCATCT